TTCAGATTACCCTGGAACTGGAGTTAAAGATGGTTCGTAGCCTCCATGTGGGTGCTAGGAATTGAACCTGGGTCCTCTGCAAGAGCAGTCAGTGCTCTTAACCAATGAGCCATCTCTCCAGCCCCAGAAACATTTTTTCTGAAGCTTCAGTCAGAAAACATAGAACAGAAACCATGTGATCTCCATGCCTGTGCAAGTTTCAGGTGCTCTGCAAGACTTTCCATTTCCTAGAATATTTGCAGATATAAGTGTTTTTTTCTCAATGTATGTTTTATTGAGTTTTGTGCATTTTATATAATACATCTTAATCATATCCAGACCCTCCCATCTCTGTACCCCCTTATAGTCATGCATTCTGTGTTTCATGCATTTTGTAATACATGTCAAGGTCTATCGAGTCAAGTTTGAGTACCCAGATGTCCCTCCATGTGAGTTCATCCACTGGAGTCCAGTCAGCTATATTATGTGTCTTAAAATTCCTTTTCTTGTGGCTGGAGAGATGGCTCAGCAGTTAAGAGAGCTGGTTGTTCTTGCAGAGGACCCGGGTTCGAATCCCAGCACCCACACAGCAACTAACTGTCCATAACTCCAGCTCAAGGGGATCTGACACCATCTCTGTCCTCTGTGGGCACTGCACAACATGGATGCACTTATATACATGCAGGCATAACACTCATATGAATAAAAATAAATACATTAAAAGTTTTTTAAATTTCTTTTCCTCTCCTGAATGTGCTTATAGTTGGGTCCCCCACCCTCCTGGCTAAGGCTTTTCCATCTCATGCAGATCAGAGAAAGGCAGACTTGCGCCTTCCTGCAGAGGCAGTGCCCATGGATAGAGGTCCTCAAAACAGGTAACTCCTGCCTGGTGATCCAGACTCCCACCTGCCTTCGGCCGCTCACTGTCACCTGACACCCTCTTGTCTCCCCAGCTCCAGCTTAGCTGCTGCCATCCAGGAGGAAAACCAGTGTAAGAGGAACAGGGCCCTTGAGAGGGAGATGTCCAAGGCAGTGGTGGGGCAGATCTGGGCTCAGTCCTCCGTGGAACTAAACTCCACAATATGGTCCAGGACTCTGGACAGATCACCCCCTTGTCCTGCCTCAACAGATGCCACAGTGACAGACATACAGCCCGAGGACAGCATGGAAATAGACTATCAGGTGAGGCCCTGTCCATTTATAGTGCTGAAGAACTCGTATCCCAGTTTACCCAAGGAACTCAGGGAACTCACATGGATCTTTCCCTCGGTCAGCTCTCAGTGGCATCCAAAGCTCACTCCCACTTCTGGAAGCCCCAGCCTCCCTTCTGCTATGACCTCAGTCTATCCTTGTTCTCTTTTGATGATGTGATCTTTCCCTCCAGTCTTCTTTGCATTTTCTAGGCATCTTTCTAGTTGTTAGCATACTTCTGGGGTCTCAAAGGATAATGAACAAATGGACTATCTACAACCCCAAGGCCTTCCACCATTCAATCACTCAGCCACCCATGCGAAGCTTTCTCTTGACTAGGCTCCCTATAGCAGCTACAGATACATCAGGGGACAGAGCTTCCCAGCAAGTCTAGGTTCATTTCAAAGGTCGGAAATGAGATGCAAATCAATGTGGAACGTTAATAATGCAATGCACTCTAAAAGAAGGTAAGGCAGAGAAGTTGAATGTAGTGTGTGGGACACACAGGGTCGCTATATGATTTACAAGGGGTGGAGGAACTCTGAAAAGGTGTATTCTGAGGGGGACCCTGTGTGCAGAAGGCCAACA